TCACGGCTTGTTTTTTACTAGTTTGTTGCCTATCTCAAGGCGTGACTGGTGCGCGCGGGAGGGGGAGAAGGGTGGGACCGAGTGTTCTTGTATGGCATAATGTGACAAAGAGCATGCATTAGTATGTTTTATCATGTATAAATGATGAATATAACTGTTTTATGTCCATTGAGCTGCAAGTTATAATTATCATAATTTTTTCAAACTTTGACACGAGGTAGCGACCCCTAAAAACCTATGTAAAAAGTAAATAAAAAATATAGGTTCGTTTTTTAGGTGATAGAAGCAAATGGCGGGCTGACGCAGTAATTTTTCAAAAGTCGAAAAATAAGAAGCACCCTAATGGGGACTAAAACCTGTATTACAAACAGTCGGCAGTTCAAACGTACACAACATTATTTGATATTACTCGGACAAAAAAGACTGGTACACTTTGTGGCACATTTTTAAAAAAAATATATGAAAAATTATTTTCGATTTTGTCTCCCTAATTCTGTCACAAAAATAAACCTAAATCACAATAAATTGAAATTTCGCACAGAAGGTATTGTTTTGTCCCTTTCATGGCGGCAGTTAACGTGTTAATATGTTCTTGTAAAGATGACTAAAAGTTATCATCCATATTTACTAAACACACCTTTCCTTGCAAGTCTTTTAAAACGTAGCGTAGGCGCGTTTTTTTAAGCCAAATTGCATGCGGACAAATTTATAATGGCCATTTTGAACATAAAAGGCCGTTTTGTTTATGCAATCTTGAAATAGAATGTTCTTGTAAAGATGACGAAAAGTTATCATCCATATATACTAAACACACCTTTCCTTGCAAGTGTTTTAAAACGTAGAGTAGGCGCGTTTTTTTAAGCCAAATAACATACGGACAAATTTATAATGGCCATTTTGAACATAAAAGGCGGTTTTGTTTATGGAATCTGGATGCATCTCGATTTGGTGAAAACCGGTTGCCAGATCTAAGGTACTAAAAAATTACAGCGTCCTAATTTGTCTAAAATATGTCTATGTGTATGATTTTTCTGGAAGGTGGTCGTGATGAGGTGAAGACATATCTTTATAACAATGAGTTTTTTTTACTCATGCAATGTGTTTCCATCTAGCGCAGTATTTATTACAATATTAATTATCTATTTATAAATGTTATTCTCTTAATAAGCCTCCTCTTTTCTTTTTGGCTGTACGGAAAAACAGGTGCTGCTTTTATTTGAAACATTTATTAAAGCTGCAGTACTAATGAAACCAGCAAGCTGAGTACAGCCTTTTTGCCCAGACAATGTACAATGTACAAATTTTGGGTAAATAAATGTGTTTATTATTATTATTATTATTATGTGCCTATAATTAGGTTAAAATGACGGTGGCACCTGATTTTCGCTTTACCCTTTGTTGATTTGGTCGTATTTTGATTTGGTGTTCGGCTGGGTTTTATAATTACTAGTACCGGCAGTTGAACAAATTTGATTGATGTTGTCGCACTGGCACTGGCTTCAAAATTTGTAAAATATCATATTTTTCGACAACACTTTCTTCTTGGCCAGCTGAAAAATGAAAGTAGATGTCTTTCTCGCCTTTTTTTTTAAATCTCACTGAATAATAGGGGCTTCTCCCATCATCATTATTTCTTTGCATGATCTTAGCAGCATAATATTTATAATTTGATGAATTTTTAATAGGGATTTTGATTAATACGAGTGTCAATTTCGAGCGAGGTTAAGTTATTATCCGAGTTTTCCTTGTCGGAACTGCTGTTGTCATAAATTTCAAGGTCAATTTTATCTCCAGATGAAGGACCACATTTAATTAGGTCATTTATATTATTAGGATTGTCCTTTTGTTATTTTTCTCTTAGAAAGCTTAAGTCCGAGTCGTCTTTATTATTGTCATTAACTTCTTCTTTAATATTATCAATATTTTTGTAGACTTTATTTCTATTGAAATCTCTTAGTTGGACAGTCTTTCCTGCCTTCTTCTTTTTATTAGCCTCGGACATTTGCGATGATTAAAGAAACTCCAACAAAAAGTTTGATGTTTCACTGCCCTGTTCTTCATTAACGTTCGTTAAATGGGGGACCCCTTTTAAAACCTAATTTGGATTATATGAGAGAATTCCGGTTGCCATAAAAACAGATAAGATATTTTTAGAGTTTGCCTCAACTTCATCCAATGTTTTTTTAACAGAAGTAGAAAGTATGATTTTTGGAAGGGCCCTCTTATTTTCAGTTCCACTGTTCCACTGTTAGTGTTCTTCTCCAGGTTTTATTTAATGGGACAAAGTAAGCGACATCCAGTGGCTACCAAATATGAGTTGAATTGGGGGAAAGTAAAATAAATAATGAATATTATTTTCTATGCAAGTCTTAATAACGTATAGGGTGATGTGCGACGATAAATTGTTACCTATCATGACTTTCCTTCCTGCTTTATGTCAAAAGTACGCTAGAAAACAGCTGCGAAACCATTCTATAAAAACAGTTGTTTTAAACCAATCAGACTTAGTGATGAAAATTGGCAACCAGGTGGACCATGTTCCTCCCATTCTTGATAGCGATGCTTTGCTTTATAGACGACGAATGGCGGCAATAAGGTTCTTGAAGCTAAATCCGCTATCATCACAGAAACGCTTGTTTTTTTTCAAATCTTTAACTCTATCTTAATATTTGCTTCCTCTTTTGCAAACAACTTTAGGGCGTCTGGGGTCATCACTTAAATTAATCTCATTATATTTGATGGTATTTTCGTCCAAAACGCCTTCTAAAGACGTTTTCAATAACTTAAACTAGTCTTATGGTTTCATGAGTAACCTGGTCTCTGTTTCTTTTGATGTTTTGGGACAGCCGTACAGTAAGTTGTTCGTGTCTACTTAAAACTAGTTTACCCAGTCCCCACCTGGTAAACTGTTTTAAAAACGTGGCATACCAAACCATTTTCTAAATAAAATAAATAAATATAGTTTATTTAGCCAAGCTATTGTAAAGATTTCTCCTTACCCCAGGTTCGCTTAAAACAAGTTTTATGAGTAATTGATAAACAAAGACCGGATTTTAGGCCGTTAAAAATTGGAAATTAGGAGACTTAAATAGGCAATAAAAACCTACATTTTAGTGCCAAAAATAGGCCTTAACCGCCTAAAATAGGCGATATGAAATAAAAACAACAAAATTTAACATAACATTTATTCAGGTACTAACAATAAAAATAAAATAAAAAACACATCTCTTAATATAAAATACAAAAAAAAATAATAACACCAAATTTAAAGCCACTATGACATAAAAGTAAAATATCCTTCTTAAATTAATAAGTAAATTTATCATATTGGCGAAAGATTTGCTTTAAATTATGTATAAGTAAGTATAAGTTAAGGAAATCCTTCTTTATTCATACTGGCCAATATATAAAACAAATTATTTATTTAGTTGGTTTGCATTTCCGTAACCCACTAAGTACATTTCCAAGTTTTCGGGAGTAAAATTAGTCCTTTTATAATTTAAAATATTTTTTAATCAAGAAAAAGATCGTTCCACATCACAGGATGTCAGGCAGTGACGGCTCGTCAGGGTAGGCCTCTGAGGCCGCGCCTCACCCTTAAAATGAAGGAACGAACGACTTTTTGTATTTAGCTTTTTGCCTATTACAAGTGTTTTTTTACAACAGTTCTACCCAATAAAAAGTAAAAAACCAATCAATCATACTAAGCGTAAATAAAATTCCAGGCGCAAAGCGCGTCAAGGTAACGTGCATCGTTGAGAGTCGCTAGGACAGAGGCGAAATTTTCACAGCCTCGGAAGCTTCCATTTACCTCTAGAAAGCGAAAATGACTCACCAGCAAAAATATCGCCGGAAGTTCGCGAATAAATACCGTAGATTCAGTCGTAGATGAGGCGAAATTTAGTTAGCTTGGCTTGTTCTGATTGGTGGTTTTATCACATGACCGATGATAATCTCTTGTCCGAGGGTGGGTAGAGCACGTTATTGTTTTGATTCAGATTAAATTATTTAAAACTTTTGGCTGGTCTTTTATAGTTTTTATAGTAAAATTTCTTATTTTGTTATTTATTATTCAAAATTTTACAATCTAAGCATTAAGACATAAATTACTGTTCCTTACAAATAAACCTTGCCAAGCTAAGAATTAAAGAATTAAGAAACGAATAACGTTTTAAACTATTTTTTAATATTGCTAAAAATTCCACGGAACTGCCAACTAACACACGCAGAGGTAAACCTTCTAAGGAATCCGATATTTTTACCAAATATAATAATTCTTCAATTAGAGACGCGGTTTGAAAATTTAAATTTAAGTGTTGAAAAAAGTTTAGATATGTTGTTTAAAAATTTCAAGACAATTTTTGTGGAAGCAAATCTATAAGCTTTTTAATTTAGTTTTAACTATCCCTGCAACAAGTGTATCTGCCGAACGAAACTTTTCATGTCTTAAACGAATTAAAACCTACCTTAGGAACACAATGACACAAGAACGGCTTTCAAGCTTAGCAACGATGTCAATAGAACAAGAATTACTTTCAAATCTCACTGCAGACCCACAATTTTACGACCAAATACTAGATAAATTTAAATAAACTTAAAAGATACACGTATAGATTTAATTTACAAAAAATAGGTATAGTATTTTATATTTTTTAATACTTAGGTAAAAGGTTAAAAAAGGTCAACGCGTCGCAGAATAATACCTCCCGGGTGACGTGGAAATTTATTCGTATTTAAACAAAATTAACCTTATGTAGCCTCACCCTCCTGTACACCCACGAGCCGCCACTGATGTCAGTGGACAAAATTTGAAAATTCTGCAGTCATTGTGTCTAGCGTTGATTTTATTGTTGCCGTTCAAAACATCACAAATATCTTTGATTGTAGTATAGCCTGGGTTTTTAGCCAGCACATCTCTTAGTTTTGAGTTTGAAATCTGTCCAGCTGTACCAGGAGCATTCAATATATGCTGCTTCACATTTTCGATTATTTCAATCCCCTCAGTTAAAGGCAGCCCAACAGTCTGTAAGTTTGTGATGCTGTCCTTCAAAATCTTGAAATGTGCTTTTATATACTGCAAATCCTTTCTGAGTGAACTTTGTTTGAATAACTGTTGGGCTTTTTTTAATGGAATTGGATGAATTCTCATCAAATGTTTCAAAAACCTGAAACAAAAAATAATAATAATGTTTAACGCAGGTACACTTTATTCTTACATTTTTTACTCCCTCAAAGTTATCGGCATAAAAAAATGCGGCTTCCAACCAGGTTCCCCAGCGGGTCAAAACAGGCGCTGGAGGCATAGGAACATCAGGCAACATCTCCCTATAAACTTGCGTCCGCAAAGGAGCTTTCAAAAAGATTTTTTTGTGTTTGAAATCAAATCATCGACTTTTTCGAACTCATCTCGGACTTTGCTGCATACAAGGTTGCAAGTTAAATGTATGAGATCCGGATAAAACACTTTTAAATTTTGCCCATATTTAACCATGTAAGCTGCTCCATCGGAGACAAAAAGTCACTCTTTCTCATACTTTATCCCGTTGGGCCAAAAAATACCTAAAAACAAAGGTTTGTTTGAATAATACCAAATAAAAATTTTATTTTACTTACCCAGTGATTCATTAACAAATCTTGAAACCGTTATATTATTTGCCTTTACCAGCGACAATTATGTACATGTCATTGTCGCCTATTGCTTCCCTTATTTTTTCAATAGTCTAAAAGCAATATTTTTAGTATAAGCATAAGATTTTAAATTTTTTTTTATATTAGACCAAGAAATATTTACCTCATTGTAACACTTCACCATGTACTTTTTTCTCAGGGTCGACTCATCCGGGATTTTATGTCTGCAATGTTTCTGGAGAAAGTCAGACAGAACAGGGTTTTTCAATTTGTATAGGGGAATGTCGGCTGCAACAAACGCTTTGCATATTTCCATGCAAAAATTATCTTTTTTCATATCAGGGGCTGGAGCATTCAACAACAATACATTTTGTAAAATAACAATTTAAATTGGTAATCTTTTTATCAAAATATTTTAGAAACTTAACAAATTTAATTATATATTTAATTGAATTGTATATTAACAAACGTAATTTAACAACTTCGAAATGCAAAATATTTTACTATAGCATACTATAACAACAAAAAAGTGGATCTCTTGGAATACAGATTTTTTTACTGTGTAGGTATGTTAAAACCTTACCATCTTGGCACAGCTTTTGCAAAATATTTTTGTGCCATCGCACTGATTTGGCTGGAATATTTTATTTTCGTCCAGCTCCTGCAACCACCCTGAAACCTTTATCCCTGCTTTGGCCTTGGGCATTTCGTAGGATTACTAAAATAAATTGTTGTCAAAAATAATAGTTTTTTTTAATGAAATACCTGTTATTTAATTAAATCTCTATAGAGTTTATATATAAACTTACCAAAAACGAGCAGGCCGACGCTGTAAAAAAAATATAAACAAATACAAACAAAAGCACGATACGTTGGTACCAGGGCTGGATGCTCTCGTGGACGAGTTTTGGTTCTTGCCGCGCATGACGTTACTTATAATAATAATAAGCTTTATTTATGTTATATACAAAGTAGTATTTACACAGGTCAAAAACAGGTCAGAAATATAATTAGATAATAACAAAATAGATTGGCAAATTTAATAAAAATTAGTATAGTACTGGAATAGAAACCGATAAAACTTATAACTAGGTGATATTAAAATTAAAATTAAAAAATTCATCAATTGAATAAAAGGAATTTTGAATTAAAATTTTCTTAATTATATTTTTAAAATTTTTGGCCGGATAATTCCTTATATTAAGTGGAAGATTGTTAAAAAACTTAATTCCCAAGATTTTGTTCCTGTTTGACTTTTTTTCAGTCTATAATATGGCAGTGCTAAATTATTTTTATTTCTTGTGTGGTAGCTATGGATACCCGACATCGTAATGTAATCCTTTTCGTTATTTTTTATGTATATTTTCTATCTTTGCTTACTATAGATTTATTTATTGCTTACTGTAGTTAGATGGGTATTCAGGTTAGAATAAACGAAATTATACTACATACTTATATTTTAGGTACATGCACTTTACATTTATAGGCTTCTTACAATTTACGTCTATTCAATACTATGGTCGATACAAAACTGTCCCTTGGTGGGGGTTTCTTGTACCATACGAGTTGTATGTACAGGGTGTATACATCGCATCCCTCCACACTTAAATTAAAACTATAACGTTAGTTTTACATACAATAACTTAAAACTATTTAGTTAGATTTACATACTTTCAATAACGTTACTAACACGTTTATTTTGTATACAGTCACATGGTAAGTATCACAGGTAATTATCACATATAATAATACTATTTTTGTAAATCTAACAATAAAATGAATAATACAATACATTAAATTTTGTTTTATTTTAATTCAACCTCAAATTCCCTTAATTTTGTTGGTAACTTATATGTCTTTTAGGCGTACTACTTGTATCTATATTAAGACTTTGTGAATTAGGTAAACTTAATGGTTCAACTGTATTGTTTTGTTGACTAGGAGATATGCTCTCTGGTACTGTGGTAATTTCTTCTCTAGACCCACTTGCATGCTGTTCTGGTTGTATGTTTTCTTGAGTTTCAGATATTTTAGGTGGAAAACATTGTAGTTTTTCACTAATCTTTATTTCTGCTTCCTCCTTTCTAACTTCTCTGTGCCTCATTTGGTCTGTGTGTCTTTTCCACACTTGTTTATCTTTGTTTTTACACAGATACACGTTTTCTCCCACTCTTTTAATTATTTTTCCTTCTATCCACGATTTGTCCATGTTGTGTTTGTATTTCCTAATCATGACATGGTCGTTTTCCTTAAATTCCCTTATTCTTCCCCCTTTTGGAAAATTTTGAACCTGTAATTCTTCTGTAAGATAATTTTCCTTGGGTTTTATGAGATCTAATCTAGTCTTAAGGTTTCTTCCATACATCATCTCGGCTGGGGATTTGTTGGTAACACTGGTTTGTGTTTCTATAATTTAGGAGAAATCTTTGCAAAGCACATTGTAAGTTTTCTGTGTTGTCCTCTAAAAAATAAGTTTTGATTTTCGTTTTCAAGGTTTTAACGAAATTTTCTGCAAATCCATTTAATTGTGGATGGTAAGGTGGAATTGTAATATGTTTAATACCATTCCTTGTCAAGAAATTTTCCATTTCTGCTGATACTAAATTCTTACCATTGTCACTTACTAATACTTCTGGTATTCCCATTCTTGAAAATACTAAGCTTAGTTTTTTTATTGTTTCAGTTGTGTTCAATTTATTCATGATAAAAGCTTCAGGCCATTTATTACCTTGAACTTTTCTTGGTTCCTGTAGTGATTTAAGACATGGTATACAGCTTTTAATCATACTTTCTATATGTCTGTCGATATTAGGCCACCATATATATTCCCTAGCTTTTGTTTTGGTTCTGACTATACCTATGTGTCCCTCATGCAGTTCGTTAAGTATATTTCTTTGTAATGTCCTGGGTATCACGACTCTATGTCCGTGTAAAATACAATTGTTATCGACTGTTAATTCTTATTTTCTATTATAATAAGGTTTTAATTCCTCTTTTACCATTTTCGGCCATACATTTTTAACATAGTCCGTTATTTCCATTAAAACATTGTCCTTCATTGTTTCCATTGCCACTACTTTGTTATCAATAGGCCATTCTTTTGATTTTTCTGCAAACTTTAGATACTCTTGGTGTTTTTGTTCATCCGTAATCAAGTGTGTTTCTATAGGCAATCTAGAAAGACAATCAGCAAAGAAATTCTGCTTACCCTTGATGTGTTCCATTTTATACTGGTATCCTGATAGGAATAAAGCCCATCGTTGTAATCTGTCTTGGTGTCTTTGTGGAATTCCTTTATTCTCGCCAAATAATCCTAAAATTGGTTTATGGTCTGTCTTGATCGTGAAGTTTTGCCTATATAAATATTCATTGAACTTTTTTACTCCATAAATTATTGCTAAAGCCTCTTTTTGAATTGTGGGATACTTCTTTTCTGCTGCTGTTAATGTTCTGGATGCACATGCTATTGGCCTGTCAATTTTTACACTGTGTGCCAGTATTGCTGCTACTCCTGTGTCACTAGCATCGGTAATGAGTGTCAATGGTTTACTGGAATCATAATGAGTTAATATTAAGTCCTCGGCTATAATGGCTTTTATATTTGCGAAAGCATCCTCTTGTTCTTTTTTCCACTCAAATTGCTGGTTGTTAGTTAATAATTTATATAATGGTTGTAAAATGTTGGATAAATTTGGTATAAATTTTGCATAGTAGTTTACAAGTCCTATAAAAGATCTCACCTGTGTTAGGTTAGTTGGTGGTGGTGCTTTCTGAATTGCTTTAACTTTTGTTTCCGATTTTCTTAATCCATTTTAAAAACTCACATTTTTCCTTTTTTAGTGTCAATCCTGCGTCCTCTAGCTTTTTACACACCAATTCCAGGTTCCTTTGATGTTCTTCCAGTGTTTTGCCCGTTACAATTATGTCGTCTAAAAAATTAGCCACTCCATCCATACCTTGGAATAACTGCTCGATACTTTGTTGAAATATTGCGCTTGCTGGTACTTGGTGGGGGTTTCTTGTACCATACGAGTTGTATGTACAGGGTGTATACATTGCATCGTATGTACAGGGTGTATACATCGCAGTATAGCAGGGTCTCTAATATAAAAACTGATGGTAAGGTTAATATTTTTAAGTTTTTAAAAGCTGTTTTACAGTCTGCTTGATATGGTAGTCCTGCTAGTATCCTTACTGCTCTTCTTTGAAGCGCAAATGCACTATCAGCATGCGGGGAGTGTCCCCATATTAATATGGCGTAAGTAAGAACCAAGTGAATAAGAGCAAAGTAAGCATTTTTTAGGACATCCATAGACACAGAATCATATAGTCCACGCAGGACAGACACTCCTCCTAGTCTTCTTACAAATGTTATCTACATGGTGATCAAATTTTAGAGCCCTTTCTAATTGAACTCCCAAGAATTTAACTGATTCATTTTTATTTGGAACATCTTTAAGTGAAAATATTATATTTTGAGTCTTATTTAAATTTAGTGAAAGTTTGTTGGCCTTAAACCATTGCTCCACCCTTGACTGCGTCTCACATGACTCATCCTCTACAACGCTTAAATCCCCATTTGATCTAGAGAAAGACGTGTCATCTGCAAATAGAGTAAATGCTGCTAAAGGATCAACAAGAGGCAGATCATTAATGAATATTAAAAAAAGAAGAGGACCTAGAACGGATCCTT